TACAAAACCTGAATAGAACTGTCACTGCTCTTTGCTACAAGACTCCTACTTTAACCCTCGCGATGTACTAGATAGTTATCATTTTGTGTTATTACAACGAGTACTCGGTCAAACGTAGACCAAACAATATTAGAAGTGTACTCAAATTACCCTTAAGACTGACAATGGCATTGAGATGACGAAACACCCACTAAACTCTACAAAATAATGATTCCTGGATAGCGCGTGGTCAGTTTAGGATAATTTTAAAAACCGTAGCTTGATGTAAAATTCGTAAAACCATCAGTTTACCGACTTATCTAAATTGACAGTGAGATACTTACAAACAAACCGACAGAAACTGAAAACTATCAACCCACGAAGGCAAATCTTTAGGTGCATTGTTTGCCAGACAGGAAAAATTTGTGTGTCACATCGCCTGAACTGAATGCGATGAATAAGGAATAATTGACAGACATATTTTTTAAATATCAGCATATGCTTTGAAAAACCGAACAAATGTAGAATTTCCTTCAATAGTGACATCCATCATCAAAAATTGACGATTGTGGTGCACCCAGGTGATAACAGTTTTCATCAGCCCCGGAAATTAGACTGCTGGCAAAAATGGGTGAAATTGTCCGTTCACAACGAATTATTTTAGCATTTACCGAATCGTCCTAACTTGGTTAAGATAATCAATTACTGCAGTCTTCCACGCCAATGTGGATAACATTTTAAGATGAACTCAATCTAATAAACTTTAAGCTCGATGCGTTTCGGTTGATTTACTTCATTTCCTGTCCTTTCTCGTTCGATCAACTTGTTTGTAAGATTGCGAAAGAAGAACCGTAACGTACTAAGAACTGCATAAGAAGAAGAATAATAACTAGGCATTTCATGCGCTTGCACCAAACGCGGTTATGCGTTTCTTGAATCAGTTGTGGACGTGAATGTAACGAATATGTCAACTGAGGAAAATTGTCGAACCGTTATGCAAATTCTCGTTCAAGAAACGTAAATGTGGATGACTTTCTCACTAATTAAGTAGACAATGACTCACCAGCTCTACATAACAGCCATTCGATGCTTAGATCATAGTTACCATAGCATGAACCAGTGGCGAGACATGTTTTACATCAGCAAATTTACCACGGTCACACTTCCTTTCAGAATTTTCTACTCGAAAGGCAAACATTTGTGGACATGCGTATGACATAATAGCGACTTCCTTGTTTTGTTTTGACCATCATAAACATGATGTTATTCATGACGTCACATTAGCTCTTCCGTATGGAATTGGCCACCGGATAGCATACCACGTAATTCCTGAAGATATGAAGTTCATGTGCGTTTCGTGAAGAAATTCGAAAAGAATTAAATTGCTGCTAAGAAAGGCTTAGTATTTCAACAGATCAATATTTATTTTTGTCTTAAATCAATCAGATTTAAAAGTATTATCTGTGATGATTGCATTTTTACGGATGAGTGCTGTTCTGTACTTTGCGTGCAGCAAGGTCTGTTGATCGTCATCGCGGGGTGACCTGTAACTTGCCCAGCGTGCGGAGATCCGAATTCAATACTATCTATCTTGTCATAAGGTTTTGGATAACGGAATCAGCAGGATACTAAAAACATACAACACGTGCGCTTTTAATGTAATTAAAGTAACACGTCATAATAGCTTATTGATTCAGATATAGAGTGCCTCTATTTTAAGGCCTGTTTAATAATCGTTTAGCGGTAAAGTCCGATCCCTGAACCACCACCCAGAGAACCTGAGCACAAGTCGCTTTTGTTACCTTTAATCCGGAAAAATTGAAGTGTGAGCCATGAGGGAGTTGCGCGAGGGCATGGGGCGAAAGAGCAGAAGAAAACTAGGGGAGGGACGGGCGCCAATAGGCGCTCAGCAGTCAAACGTAGGAGATGTCTAAGGGGATCAATTTTGGCCGAAGCACACCAACTTTTCGCAAAGAGCTTCAAAGAAATACAACTAAGTTAAAACATTCTCAGGAACCTATATAGAAAAAATGGAGGGAAAAGGAAAATTCGAAAATTTTCGAACAGATAGTTTATTTGATTACGGGTATCGTGTTTTTACTGATTGTAACAGATCAAAACTAGTAGTCGTGGAATAAAAAAATTAATTATTTTTCCGAATAGTGCTTTGGTCATAGACGAACAGTGTTTTGAAAATTGCAACTGGCAAACAAAAGCGACAGAACTATCGACAAGCAAACATGGGATAGCCATAAGCGGTAGATCGGTTTTCAATTGAGTGTGGAAAACCAAAACGGAATTAATCACAACGGCCAATCAGAAGAGAGGAAAATGCCTTTAAGAGCCAATGAGAACTCAAAGTAAAAACAACCAAACTACCTAAAGCGCGGGAAAACGCGGGCGACCAAGTCGTTTTTAGTTTTGCACCTGATTGGTTGAGAAAATAGCGCAGATCACAGAGCGAAGTAAAGCAAAAGCAATGCAATCCCAGATCACTTTTGACACTCAATGGAAAATACAGTGCAACGAACGATAGGTTTTTGACCAATCGGGGAGCTCGTGATATCAGTTATTTTCTAACGCACATGCAATCAGCGTTTCAAGCAATGTGACAGAGAATGTACAAAATTGATTTATCTGAAAATTTTGTGAACAGAAAATCGCATGAACTGCTCGTGAATGTGTAATTTATGATCACCCATGAGGTTCTGAGGGGTTTGCGATTTGCACTCGTAACGGCTCGTGCAGTTAAGAACATTTTCAAAACAGTGCCCATGCCCATGAATCACAAAATGCACACACGTTCAGGCAAATTTCCTCTTCGTAAACTAAATTGAAAATGAAATTGCAAATAGTAACTTGTAACTTGTGATATAGACTAATGATGATAGTAATAATAAGAATGGTATTAGTTACAGAATAAGCGAGTGAAATGATAATTCCTCGAAATGCATCCGGGAAACATAATGGGTAAATAAATAAGCAAACGAATACGACAATAGCTCTTATGCAAGATGACGTCAAATATAAATCTTTGCCACCTTCTTATTGATTTCATTTGCGTTTTCTTTTTATTTCAGTTTTTATGGAAGTACTTTCTTACTAAAATTTATCAGTCTGCACCATGAAAGCGAGGCTTGGAAGGGGGGAGAAGTCTATTCGTGAGTGTAGTGGCTGCGTACAACAAGCATATTGATCAGTTGTCTTCAAGGCCTGGTTACCTTGTTTGAAAGAGTTAGAGCCTAGGTCCTCTTAGATAGCAAACCAATTTTTGGCAGTTTGGCGATGCGATTCCCTCAATTGATTATTGTTTGTATGTATTCCTTTCATAAATCGTTAGATAAAAGCATGACAAAATGTTACCCTGTTTCTTGCTGATGGGTATGCGGTTTTACCATGTTTTCAAAAATAGACACATCAATTAGCTGAATATAGTATAACATCAAAACGAGTACTGCCTTTCATCGGATTTCGGCACCAACAGAATTAATTCAAACGCGCGGAAATAAACATTTAGCTAACAATTATCTTCCTTCGATAAAAACTCCTGATGCTGCACTAAATGTTCGATTAGATGCGTTAAGGATGTTACTGAAATTTTAACAGGAACTCTCATTGTTTGGAGATATACGTAAATTAAACTTTGGAGGCTGGAAAACTTCCTTTGGTAGAAACAATTGTGTGCAATCTGGTTGGCTTAAAACAAGTCTTTTCCCGTTTATTGCTTTCTTGTTGAGAGTTTGCGATGAATAATATTTATTCGTTGATGAGGAAATGGAATGACAGCCGTCTAGAGAAAAAAAAGAAGACGAAAGATATGTTTTCTGTTCGTATTACAATTTTTTTCCTCAAGTTTTCAAGTTGGATGAGCGATGTTTTCATTTGAAGTTACAGTAACTGACTTGGCGGAATACTTTCCTAATTTTCTCCGTTATGGCAAGTTGAGGAAACTTCTCGCACCAAAATGAGGAGAACACAACTGAGATTTTAAAATAGAATTGTTATAGAAGACAACTACATCGAAGGACCATGCCGCGCATTTGCACTCTGAGCGGAAAGTACATCTATAACAAAGACAAAATTACACAAACGAAATAGTGTTACGGGATTTTACCACAGTGCCGTCACAGCAGTACAAAGGTAGCAACTTCGGCAAATAATTCAATTACTTGCGTTCAATGGCACAACAAGTTTTATGTATTTCGTGTGATGCGAGATTTAAGCGCGTTTCGACCATCCCCGAACAGAAAGCGCCACACTGCTTGCACCTTTGTAGAAATTAACGTTCGGTGCGGTATATGGAAAACAGATTTTAAACCAGCTGTTGTTGCTTTCGTTTTCCATATTTGCGGCATTTAGTTGTTGCTGTCAGTGTTATTGGCTAAACGACCCGTGGGAAAGGCGTATCAAACACAAGAGATGCGACTAAACGCTAAGCAACTCTCAATTTGATATTCACAAATATCCAACGATTAATGCATCTTTTTAATTGAAAATAAAGTCTTGATTTATCTATCGGATTTGAAATACGGACCGTTCATAACATTTTAAAAAAACTAAAAATATTGAAATATCATCAGTGTTAAATACGCAAGCGAGATTGTCATGTAGAATTGTCATGTAAGAAAAATTTAAAGCCCGGAGCGAATGAAATATAGCAAGACCTGAGCGCCTGATAATTGAATTGAAATCTGCTTGGGTTCGTCAATTAACAACCAACAGATTACTACTAAAAGACATACGGTACACGGAGTGCTAGCCACGGTAAGGATGGAAGAAATATTGTTGATACCCTTAATCGATGACCGTTTAAATAGAGTGGTGTAGATAATCTTATGTTCATCGTTACTATTTCAAACCTTTAGACTGTATCAGAGTGGATTATGTGAAATTGTTCAATTTCGTTTCGATAGCGAACGCTATAACACGATCGCTCCGTATGTAGGAAAAAGAACAGCTCGCTTTCAAAAGTCAGGTGAATGCGGGTAAAAAACACAATAAATGGAAAAGTTTCGACTTACCTCAATCTCTTCTTTCTTGCGTCGTCTACCAAAGCATAAGGGTCGAGAGAAAAAGGATTTTAAACGTTTGAACTTCATCTTGACGATAAAGTTATTCTAAATGAGACATCGATCTTTTAACATTAAGAGAAAACCGTGCTTTCGTGCACCGCCGGGCAAAGTCGAGGTAAATGTCGTTTACAGTCGGGTTACTCTCTCCACTGTCGTCACAAGAAACCTTTCAAATGCTTGGCCAATAAAAAGTTTGCAGATAAACAAAAGCAGTTTACGTAAGACAGAGACAATTAATACAATAACTCCGGGATTGCGAAGGGGTTCAGTCTTTAGAATGATTTCCCTTCTGCTATGCAAAGAAACCAGGTAGCCTCAATACAACCAGAGAAAAAAGAAAAGGAGAAAAACTAGGTGATAAATTTCCCAAATAAAACTCTAGGAAAGGCAATTTCGGGCCTCAAAATCTCCTAGTCTCTTACTTCATTGTCTAAGATGTCTAAAAAGGTGATTTTTATTCCAAAGATTGACTCCGTTAGTTAGGGCGAGTGTGTAAGCAAATTTGCTTGATGCAATGTTGGAAGACTTGCACATTCGAGCGACCCGAATTTAAAGAAGTGATATGATTAAATTTAGATAGCATGACTCTTTATCCAACAATTTAATTGTCTTGAGATGAAGGTGATTCTCGGAAGCACTACCGCTGTTACTGAAAGCTTTACGAAGTAAAAGGGCACGGTCGTATTTCGGAAATGTTTTTAAAAGTTTTGTCTTTGTAGGCTGGGAACAAATTACAGCCCCCACATGTAGGATATACTTAGTATTTATAACTAAGTATCTAAAAATGATATGATATACCTAAAAGACCAAGACTGCAGCAGCATACACGAAAAGGCAATCAAGCTAACGATTACCTAAACCTTTTTAGAAATTATATGAAAAATTGTTTAACATATTTAGTTGTCTGAGCAATTTTAAGATGCTTGAGAGTGGCAAAAACTAAATAAAAAGGCTCGAGAAAAACAAGTTTTTAATAGTGCCATTGCAGAGAAAAAAATCAAATAAAAAAGTTGGAACCCTTTTAAAATGAATTTTTTTCCTGAACCTGGCCAAACACATATCGAGGATCTGGAGATTTACTAAGAGAAGGAGGATTAGACAGAATTGATCACGTTTCATCCAAAATCCAAATGTTCTCAAACGATGAATCACTACGTAAATCCGTTGTTTTGTTAATAAATGTGTTATTGTTATTTTCAGTTTGTGTGTAGTGGAAATAACTCACCTACCAAACCGATATAGAACTTTATTGAAATAAAAAGCAAAGGGTGACCCTATTCTTTTTTTTTTTTTTTTTTTTTTTTTTTTTTTTTT